CCCAGGTCTACGACGTCGCGTCGGAGCGGACGAACTACGTCATGGCCGCGGAGCGCTTCACGGTGCTCATCGACCACAGCGTGCTCGCGACGTCGATCAGGCACCTCCAGGGCACGAGCTCGGCGCTGTCGGGGCGGCTCTACGTGAAGAAGAGCCACGCGCTCTGCGAGGAGTACGGCGGGTCCGTGACGATGCGCGGCCTCGTGCGCGGCCCGCGTCTTTCGCGCTCCGGCGAAACCGCCACTCGATGGCACGTAGGTCGAGACGAAGACGGCGCCGTGCTACATCCGGCCGAACACGACGTCGCGGGGCCTCGACTTCTTCAGCCTCGACGTGCTGCTCCGCGCCGACGACGTCTCGCTCGACGACGTCAGCTACGACGGCAAGACGTACCGCGAGACGGGCGCGTCGCTCATCTTCGAGATCACGTACCAGAACTTCCGGGGCTGGCCGGGCGTCGGCGAGATCTTCTACTCCTACACGCCCATGGTCGTCCGGGGCAGCTCCTACAAGTACTACGACGCGATCTACGCCGAGTACCGCGAGCGGCGCCACCTCCTGAACCAGCACGGCATCTACGTCGAGGCGGTCCAGGGCGGCGAGCTGCGCGGGTCAGCGTCCTGTGGCGGTGACGATTTTGGAGAGATTTTGCCGGGGAAATCGAAGAGAAATCGTTACCGACATGCTCGGTAGGCGAGGGTTTAGTTTCAACAACCTCCTCATCCAGCTCACGACGTCGCTGACGCTCTTCGCGACGGCGACGGTGCTGACGGACTTCCTGGCCATTTACGTGCTCCCGGACCGGAACCACTACAACGACTACAAGTACGAGGTCACGCCCGACTTCTCCGACATGCGCCACGAGCTCGAGGAGCGCGAGCGCGGCCTCCTCGCGGGCCAGATCCAGGCGTCGGACCTGTACCGGCCGCCCGACGACCCGGACGCGGCGCCCGACCCCGCGCGGCGCAGCGCGGACGGCGCCATCACGGACTGGCACGACGAGGCGTAAAAGCGGCGTCAGAATTTCCGATCGCCCGGGCTCAGGCGGTGCCCCCAGTCGCCGCGGAACGCGCGCTCGGCGCCCTCGCAGCAGCCCCAGCACGCGCCGCCCAC